CTGGGTGGCCGTCGTTCGACTACCGACCATGCGGCGGTCGGCCATCTTGGATCCTTTGTTCCCTCAGCGGGGTTATGTCGTCGAGCGCCTGGTACTAAAAACGGCTACTCGACGGCATGAGCCCCGCTGAGCCTCCAGGACGTTCGGGAGTTTCGGGACGTTCGGGATTTTGTTCCCTAATAGCAATCGGTTCTTTTTGTATGTTTTATATGAATTGTGTTGTTCGTGCGGCGTTCGGTTATTTTAGCAGGGATCTGAGCGGTAATCTCACGAATGATACCCTCAGACCCCAGCTATCTACCGAACGTCCATTCGTGTAAATCCACTATATATTCACCAAGTTATTGATTTTTATGTGAATTATCGGTTCTGCTGCACGAGGGGATAATCCACTTAACGGTGCATTCTGGGAAGATTATCCCTCTCGTGCAGCGGTGCCTGATGGGAGAAATATGCTGTAATGTAAGTCCCCCATGTAGTCCCCTCCTGTACAACCCCTGTAATGTCAGTAAGGAAACCCCTTACATGGGGAACTGCATAAATACTGTGACCTGTGATTAAAACCTCAGTTGACTCCCAGCCTATGTGTCGTCTAGTTCTTGGGAAGGAAGGGTTACTGCAGTGCTGTTTGGATTATTGTATGCTGATTCCCTGGATTATCCTTTGTTGTTCCTGTTACCCAGCGGAGATATCGTGGATTATACTGCCTCTCCGCTACAATGTACGGGATGCAGTGTGTGCGTCTGTAAGGGGTGTATTGAGTGTGTGTAAGGGGTGCATTGAGTGTGTGTAAGGAATGCATTGTGTGTTTCTGTGTGTGTAAGGGATGCATTGTGTGTAAGGGTTGAATTGCTTGTGTGTGTGTCTGTGTGTGTAATGCATTGTGTGTTTTTCTGTGTGCAAGGGGTGCATTGTTTGTGTGTGATGGATGTCAATCTCTCCCCCCTCCCTCCCTCGTCACTCTCTTCTCTACCCCCCTTGTCTCTCTCTTCTCCCTCCCCTTGTCCTCTCTTCTCCCCCCCTCCCTTGTCACTCTCTTCTCCCTTGCGTGTCCCTCTCTTCTCCCCCCTCCCTTGTCACTCTTGTCTCCCCCGTTGTAACTCTCTTCTCCCCTCCCAACCCCGTCAATTCCCCTCCCTGTCAATTTCTTCCCCCCCATCTTGTCAATTTATTTTCCCCCCTTTCAATTTATTCCCTACCTGCTCTGTCCATTTATTCCCTCCCCGTCCATTTATTCCCCGTCCATTTATTCTCCCCTCCCTCGTCCATGTATTTCCTCCTCCTCGTCTATTTATTCCCTCCCTCGTCTATTTATTCCCTCCCTGTCCATGTATTTCTCCTCCCTGTCTATTTATTCTCCCTGTCTATTTATCTCCTCCTCCTGTCTATTTATTTCCTTCCTGTCTATTTATCCTCTCCTCCTGCCATTTATTTCTCTCCCTCCTCGTCTATTTATTCCACCTCTTCCTGCTCCATTTATTCTCGCCTATTTATTTCTTTCCTGTCTATTTATCTCTCCTCCTGTCTATTTGGTTCTCCTCTGTCTATTTATTCTCTACCTCTTTTCTCTTTGGCTTGTGTTAGGTGGGTTGCTTTCAGGTCTCAAGGTGGGAGTGAGCTGTACTGCCGACTAAAAGGAAATGAACACTCAGTGTTCACTTCCTGTTAGTCCGTCCGGGTACAGGAGACAGCTGCTATCTGTACCCGCGGATCATACAGGGCTCGGCCACACTATAGAGGGAGTGACAGGAGGGAGCGCTGAGCGCTCCCTCCTGTCAGCCCCTCTCCTCATACTGCGCCCGGGCGGTGCAGTCCACCCTCATGGACGCACCGCCCGGGCAAAGCTGCAGCCGCCTGAGGCTCTTTACAGAGCGCTCGGGCGGCTGCAGCATTAGGGGGGCCGGCGCTCCTGGCGGTGCCCCTTCCCAAGGGGCGCCCTAGGCGGCTGCCTAGTCCGCCTTACAGGTAGCGCCGGCCCTGCCTCCAATTGAATTTGTTATGGAATTACTTCTGTTAACTTTACAACAGAATTATTTTAGGTTTGAAACCAATTGGTATATGCAGAAGTCGGGAACATCCATGGGTGCTGCAATGGCGCCCTTGTATGCTAATGCATATATGCATACGTTCGAGGAGGAGAATATCCTAAAACCATTTTCAAATAAAATCATTAAGTATGTACGTTTCCTCGATGACATCTTGATATTGTGGAGAGGCACAGTAGAGGAAGCTGGAAATTTTGTGCAACACATTAACGACCTCCCCAGCCCAATCAAGATGACAAGGAACATTGACACAAAAACAGTGCAATATTTGGATCTTGAGATATTCATTCAAAATCTAAAATTGGAGCACCGACTTTTTTCTAAACAACAGACCAAAATACTATCCTCCATGCGTCGAGTGCGCATCCTGCACATATTAAAAAATCTTTTCCGTTTACTAAATTTTTGAGAGTGTTCAGGAATAATTCTCTGAATGCGCTGACAAACAAATTGAGGATAAGGCCCTGAGGAGTCAGCATAGCTAAATGGACAAGGGCACATGTATGAGTATGGGGATGGCTTTTGCCAAAGTTGCATCCAGAATAAATCGGTTGTAACCCCTGACTAAAAATTTGTTATACATGTATGTATGTAGCGGGGAATGTGGTGCGACTAAGAGTAAGGAGACTACCCCAATTCTCCCCTCAATAATGACAAACAACGAATATTGGATGAAACAGGCCACAGCATTTATTAAACTTACAACTGTAGGACTCATCCGAACTTTATTCTTTTTCTTTAATTCAAATATAAATAAACAGATAAATATATATACATACCATAATTAACATATAAATTAACATATAAATTACACTTATTGCCCTATAGCCTCCAACTTAAATAACCGTCCTTGCCAACGAACTTAACCAGGTTCCTATGCACCAAAACTTTACCCACTGGTGTCTCGCCTGCCCCCTCGTCCAAACCAAAAATTCCCATCATCTTAAATGCTCTACCACCAGCCGGCTTTTTGCTCGGTGGGCACGTCCTATTCGGTAACTTAAAAGTTTACCTTACAGAGCAGGGGAGGTTGAGACCCACCATGTCCATCTCTTGACATTCAATCTGCTCCCCAACCCTGTTGGCAAGGACACGCTCCCCGCTAGCTGTGACGGAACAAAAACAGAAAATTAGGGTGGGTGGGTGGGAAGTTGTTTGCTGGCCAGAATCCCAAAAGGCTCTGAGGTAAGATGATCCCTGCCCCACTACAAACCCATAACCACTCCCCTAAACACATATAGCCAATCACTAGCACCATCCCCACACTCATACATGTGCCCTTGTCCATTTAGCTATGCTGACTCCCCAGGGCCTGATTCACACAA